TTCAGCAGCTCTACTGACCAGGCTTTCCGCCGAGTGCTGGGAAACCAGGATCTCAAAGCAGACATCTGGCCTAAGAGTGCTTCTGTCTTATGGAGGAGGCAAGCATAAAAATAGGTAACTTAAATCAAGAACAGAAATAGGCTCCGAAAATGTTAGCATAAGCAGGTGCAAGCACTGGGGTACAGTGGGAAAGCAGGCAGCCTTGGGAAGAGGGAGGATGACACAATGGCTCACGGAGTTTGGGCCTGGTGGGCTCCCACGTGAGACCTCTGCTCTGCGCTCCCACACAGGTACCTTCTCCTTCTCTTGCTCTCTTCCTGGGGGAGCTCCTGGCCTGTGTCCCAGATCTCCTGATCCTTGCTTCTGGTTGGATTTGGTCAGGCACCATAGAAGAGCAGAATGGGAGGAAAGGAGGACAGAAGCATCTCTCTCCATCCTGAGTGGCCTCTGGACTGACTTTTGGCCTCTGTGTGTCTCTCTGTGGCCCCTGCCCTCTCATTGTCTTTCTGCCCACAGTGGCTTCTTTCTGCTGCCCTGTTATCCCTACTCAAACTCCCAGACTCTTGTGAAAGTACAGAGCCAAGTTCCAGCCATCCATTCTTCTAACTTACACAGTTGGAGGGGGTTGTGTCTTCTTGCTTGGGTACGGCTGCCTGACTGAGTGTGAATTCCTGGCAACTAACTAGCTGTGTCTGAAGCCCAGGCAGTTTTGCCAGTAGATGGGGCACAAAGCTACAGCCAGGCAGACTGGTTTATACAGACAGGTGGGTAAAAGGGTTCCCGAACTCAAGGTGGCGCGCTGGGGAGCACGGCAAGAGTCCAGAAAGAAAAGAAAAATCCAAGGAAAGGAAAAATTGAGAAGCAGAACCATGTACTATCCACGTAAGTGCAGGTAACAGAGTACCATTTAGAACTAGTGCTTCTCAGATTAGGTTTCTTAGGACAGAGAGCAACTAACATGCTTAACAATAGATGAGAATTGACCCCCGAGTCTCCCTTCTGCCCCCTGATGACGCTGGGAAGCGTGACCACCACCGTTCTTCCTCACCGTTGGAGTTTGGTGCCGTCTTCCTGAGCTCAGCACGTGCGCGGACCTTGCACGCTGCTGGCCCTTCGGCTTTCTATTTACATCAATGCCCCGTATGCTTTTATTTACCTATTAGCTAATTCGAAGACTCGGCTGAGGTAGCACTTGGAATACACTTAGAATACTTAGATTTACTGAGGAGTTGTTGCTGCTCATGAAGGATAGAAGAACTGTCAGATTTTATCACAGTGTTGATGAAGAAAGTCTGGTTGTTGTGTTTCTCAGAGATGCTCTCACATGTTTGCTGCAGTTAAACGCTCATTTTGCTCGGGATTGTACTGAATCTGTATAACAATTTTAGGATTATGGCCATTTTCACAATGTTGTTTCTTCCTATCCAGAAGCAGGGAATATTTTTCCATTTTCTTAAATCCTCTTCAATCTCTTTTCTCAGAGTACAAAAATTTTCATTGCATATAAATCTTTTATTTCCTGTGTGAGATTGATTTCTAAGTATTTCATTTTTTGACATTATTATGAATGGCATGGTTTCCTTAATTTCTCTCTCAGGGTGTTCATTCTTTGTGTACAAAAATGCTACTCATTTCTGGATGTTGATTTTGTATAAAATACCATTAGTATAACTCACAGAGCTAGAGAAAACTCTTCAAATTCATTTGGAACCAAACTAAACCCAGAATATCAAAAGCAATCCTAGGAAACAAGGAAAGGCAGGACGCATCACAAACCCTGACCTGGAATTATACTATGAAGCTACTGTGATAAATTAGCGTAGTGCTGGCATAGAGACAGACCTGAGGATCAGTGGACCAGATCAGAAGATGAAGACACAACTGAAAATATACTGAGCCACCTTATCTTTCATAAAGGGTCAAACAGGGGCACTGGAAGAAAGATAGCCCTTTTAATAAATGGCGCTGGAAAAACTGGCTTCCCACTTGCCAAAGGCTAAAACTAGACCCCTGCTTATCACCATATACAAACTACAGTCAAAATAGATCAAAAATTTCAATATCAAAGCAGAAACACTAAATTTTCTGGAGGAAAATGTAGGTAGAAGTCTTAAAGACATGGGAGTAGGTAGAGAGTTTATGAACAAAAAACAAACTGCAAGGGAAATACTTCAAACAATCAACAGCTGGGATTTCATCTTTTTGAAAAGTTTCTGTACCTCAAAGCAAATCTCCAACAGAGTAAAAAGAAAACCCACAAACTGGGAATAAAATTATAGCTGACTGTCCCTCCAACAAAGGCCTTCTATCTAAAACATACAATGAATTAAAGATATCAGGCCTCCTGAATTCAAAGACTTAATCTAAAAATGGCCATCTGATATGAATAGCCACTTTTCAGAGGACAAAATACAGATGGCAAGTAAATATATGAAAAATGTTCAATATCATTGGTCATTTGAGAAATGCAAATTAAAATAACATTGAGATTCCATCTCACCCCAGGAAGAATGGCTAACATCATGCAGTCAGCCATTAACAGATACTGCTGGGGCTGTGGAGAAAAGGAAGCTCTTCTGTACTGTTGGTGGGAGTGCAGCCTAGTACAACCACTAGAGAAATAAATGTGGAAATTCCTTTAAAAAGCTAAGATTGGAGATCCCATTCAAGCCAGCCATTCCTCTTCTGGATATTTTTAGAGAAGAACTGAAAACCTCATACCACAGCAATGTATGTGAACCCATGTTTACAGCAGTGCAATTTGTCATAGCTAAACCTGGAAACAACACAGATGCCCACCAATTGAAGAATGGATAAAGAAGATGTGGCATCGTTACACAATGGAGTATTATTTAGACTTTAAACAGGATAAATTTGAGTCTTTTGTCAGTAAATGGATGCAACTAGAGAACATACTCTTAAATGAAATAAATCAGACTTGCATGTGCAAATATCGCATTGTCTACTTAGTGAGAGAACCTGAAAGAGAAAAATGGAAACTGAAGGGTACAGTAGACACTGCGAATAGGAAATGAGCTTATTCAAAAGGAAAGAGTTAGAGTTGAGGAGAAGGACAGGAGATGGAATGTGGGAACGGGATTTCTTTATGTATGTAAGCAGGATGGTTTGGACAACTGTACTGTGCATTTCTGCTGGTCTATGGAAAGAAGCAGTTAATGTTTTAATTTGTTTCTTCTCCTTTATTCGATTGTTTGTACTTTTTCTCTTCTTAATTTTTATATATTTCTTTCTTTTTTATTTCTTCTTCCAATTTTATATACATATATCTGGTAATATGAATAACTGGTTGGAAGACAATACTGTGTATTACAATAAATATAATGAAATTCATACTACTTTGTTAAGTGAAATTCTTGATCACTTGCAATTTTTCTGTTTTAATTCCAATCTGTACTGTATTTAAAAATAAAAAAAATAAAAACATTGATTTTGTATTTTGAGGTAATTTATTACTTGTTTGATAAAATGAAATTATTTAATTTCAAACATGACTTTTACTTTAGAAGTTGGTACAGTAATTAATTTTTACTGAACTTTATTTATTCTAAGTTTCATATATGTAAGCGTTTCCATAGCTTATGTGCAGTTTTAGGATTGAATTTTTGGAAAGTTTCTAACTTACTGGTACATTTTAGATATACATGATGATCCCATTCATCATAGGGAATTAGCACCTGTACATGACTTATCTTAATTATTTTCCCGTTCCTTCCTCTCCCCTCAATACCTCTTTCCCTCCTTATTTACAAAGCCTTGGTTTCCACTTTTCCTCCTCTCACTTTGCTTTCTCTTCCTTTGCCACCCCCTCCCGAGTTCCCCTACCTAGTTGAACATTTTCTTCCAATTTCACAATTTCCAGTACACGTTGTTCCTTACTTTCCTCTTTGGTTTCTCACCCTACAGAAACTGCAATATTCACATAGGTGTGTCTGATTTATTTCCATTAGGTGTATGACATCAGGTGCAGCCATCTATCTAGGAACCAAGGAGCACCTCATTGTATTAAAAAAAAATCCACTGCTTATTTATCCATTCATGGTTTGATGGGCATTTGGGCTGTTTCTAAGATTTAGCCACTATACATTGTGCTTCTATAAACATGGGTGTACATACATCACTATGCTGTGATGGCTTTAATTCTTTTGGGAAATTAGCAAGAAGGGGGATAGCTGAGTCAAATGGAACTTCTGATTTTAATTTCTTGAGGAATCTCCACACCAGTGTCCACAGTGGTTTCACCAGCTGACGATCCCATCAACAGTGGAGAAGGCTTTCTTTCTCCCCACAGCCCTGCCAGCATTTGTTATTGTCTGATTTGCTAATAGCCACCTTTTCTGGAGTGCAATGGGATGTCAACCTTTTAATTTCCATCTGTGGAGTGAACAGTGACATTGGAGAATTTTTTTCATGTATTACTTGCCATGTATATTTCTTCATCTGATAAGTGTGCTTTCATTTCATATGTCCATTTTTGGATTGGTTCTTCAGGTTTGGCGGATCTGATTTTTATGCATTCTAGATAGTAGTGCTTTGTCAGAGAAACAACTATTTCTTTCCTTGTCTTTTGTCATGCACTAAACTAACATATAAATGGATCAAAGATTTAAATATTAGGAGAAAAACATTAAATCTACTGGAAGAGAAAACAGGCAGAACTCTTGAAGACTTAGGTGTAGGCAAAAACTTCGTGAGCAAAACTCCAATAGCATGAAAAATATTACAAAGACTCAACCACTGTGAATTCATCTTATTAAAAAGCTTTTCTATTGGCAAAAGAAATTGCCAGTAGAGTGAAAAGTCAACCCACAGAGAAGGAAAAAAAAAAAAAAAAAAAAAAACTTAAGATTGATTTTCCATTTGCATGATATTTTAAGGAAAACATTGTTTTTGCTCTTGGCTTGTAAATATTTCACAGCCGTGATGATAATGTAGCACAAGGACACAAGCCTCCTCCTCCAGGACTCAGAGCACTAACTCACCCTCCGCATCTGCTAGCCCTCCGCCTCCCGCCGGCTGCTTCACAGGCTCCAGTCCGTTTTGCCCCATCTTCCCTCTGTTTAAAAAGAGAATAAAAATTCCTATAAAAGGGCATTATATATTCAGATCTGCCATGGCTTATTGAAACGGCAAATATACACTCAGCTAATTGTTCTCTAGCATGTGCATTTTAAAATGGAAACTTGCTTATTACTCTTACTCAATCCAAGAATAGTATCTCGAAATTCATAAGTTTTACTTATAGAGTAATTTATCAAACAATCACACGATCATGAAATTTTCAAATTTCTGAAACAGTTTTTTTTTTTTCATTAAATAACTCTTTAGCTGACACACAGAAACAAAAAGTGCTCACAGTAATAGACACTTTGGCATACGTACACAAAGTAGCGTCCACACTGGGTCAAATCCATCTGCCTCCTCAAAATTATTATTTCTTTCTCCATTTTTAATTCTAGAGTTTTTAATGTCTTTATCATGTTTAAAAATGGGCTTCTAGTGCTTTCTTTGGTGACACATATAAAATTAATGAGCTTCTAGAGATTCTCTGGTTAGAAGGGAAATAATGAATTAAATAACATACGAAAATAGAAATGAAACCCCAGAAGATATTTTCCAAAAGGGGAGATACAAATAATCAACAGACATGTGCAAAAATTGCGACCTCTGCGTTTATGGAGAAGTGCCCAGGGGGCCCCCGGAGGCACCTCCTCCCTCCGCGAGGAGTGCTGAGAGGCGCGCGGGGCACACGCGGAAGAGGAAGCGCTCCGCACCCGCGGGCGGTTAGCCCTTCCTGCCGGCCTCGGCGGGAAGCAGTACAGAGGCGGGCGACCACAGCAGAACTCGCACAGCACGCTCTCCAGGCCCGCAGGTCGGCCTCCGCTATGTCACCAGCCGCAATAGCCAAGAAACGGCAGAGGGAGACGTAAGCGTCCATCTCCTGGTGGGGGATGAAGAAGATGCGCACAGACACACAGTGGGACAGTGTTCTAATGATGGACACTTGCGTCGATTTGAGGGAAGTTTAGAAGTTTAACTAAGTGACTCAGCAGGGGCCAGGGCCTCGCTTTGTAGACGTCCTCGTCCTGCGCAGGAGGAGGGCACGAGGGGGTGGTGTGGGTGCTCCGCTCGTCTGGGGTCGTTACCCTGCTTGCAGCACATGGAGGAAGAGAGGCTTGCTCTCCGCGTTCTGTGTTTGCTGGCTTTGCTGCCTTCTGCCTCCTTGAATTGTTGCCCTCCTCACTGTGCATTCCTGCCTTGGAGCCAGCTGATTACAGACTGAAACCTCCACAGGCGTGAGCTAAATAAACTACGTCAATTGTTTGGGCATAAAATGTGTTAGCTCCTGTCATTTGCAGCCACATTCATAGGAGTGAACACAAGTGTGTAAGCCGTATGGAGCACTCACACCTATCTGTGGCTCTCCAGAGACCAGAACGTCCCTACCTATAAGAGGGATCGATGTAAATGTAGAAATCACTTTAACTTGAAAACCATGGTGTTGTTCCGTCAGGACAATTCAAGGTCAAAGATTTAGGCACAGATTGCAGTTAAGCGATTATGAAAGGGCTAATTTCACACAGATTATCAAATTTCTAACCTTTTGTGTGCCTGCATGTGTGGCTTGCTTCGGGATATGTTGTCTTTTTTGATCCATGCGCAGAACTTGAGCTTGTGGAGTCCTTTCATTGAGATTCAAGTAATTATGTTTTAAAAAATGGACTGCACTGTAGGTACCATAAACGGACCAAAGCTCCAGGAGTTTAGCAGCACACTCCCTCCAGCATTACACTGCATGCCCAGGGAGCCAAAATGCAAGGGAACGTGAGGATCTTTCTTATACTTTGCTGAACTTTGAGGAAGTTTTAATTTGTAGTAGCTGTAACAAATATCAATGCTCGGGAATTGTCAGAATTATTTTCGCCCTAGATTCTATATTTTAATGCTTTCTGCCCACAGTCTTTGATTCTAATGAATAATGAATTTAAATTTAGAGACAGCCAAAGTGCAGCGTCTATTTTGGGGATTACCCGGAACTTGCAGCACAGCATAGCTAAATGGGGAACCAAGGAAGTGAACTGGGGTCCTATAAAGAATGTAGTCTCTCTGAATTCTTCACAATCCTCCACTCGGAGCACACTGCACATTTCATAATTCATAGTTTAATAAGTCACCAGGTGCTCACAGAGTAACTATCCTAGCCCCAGCGATGGTGTGCTAGACATAACTATTGGGGTATATAAAATCTAATAAATATAATTTCTTACAAGTATTATACAATGTTTTAAGAAAGTGAGTTTTCTTTTCCTTTATATGACAAGATAATAATATTGTGAGCCACTTAGAGAGGCTTTGATTTACAATGGAAATGGGAAAATGGAAAAAAAATATCATATGCATATAAAAACCACGTAATTTCACTTTAGATGTTCAGATATTTAAGAAGTAGCATAATGAACTCTATGAAAATTACAAGTTCCTCATCAGTGTTAAATTATACACCCTTAAAGGTACAGATAACTGAAAGGACACCCATTTGCCTGTGGTGCAAAGCCTTCATAAGCTCAGATGCTGTTCACAGTGTACAGAGAGATGGAGTGGACTCCCTGGGGTGGCCCTCATCCTGGGTCACCAAACGCCAAGGACCCATGAGACTTGATCAGCTTAAGGGTCCTATCCAATCATACAGAGCTGAGAGGTACAAAACCTCTGCTGCAGTCCACAGTCCAAGCGTCAAAGGCCAATAGAACAAATACAAAAAATCTTCAGATATACAGATGATAAAACAAGAATTTGCTTTATTTTAGGTGGAAAACTTATTTAGGAGTTTCAGCATACACACTGTGAAAATGAATTTTCTCTATTATTTTTCTTTTGTAAACAGAACCGTTAACTATTTTTTAAAGAATTTTATTTATTTGTGTGTGTGTGTGTGTGTGTGTGTGTGTGGCCAGCTCAGCCCACCAAGGGGCGGGGCTGGCTGGCATGTGGTGCTGGGGGATTGAACCGCGGTCCCTGTGTTTTGCTAAGCTTGTTCTAAGTATAAGTAGGTGCTTTAGACCACTGAGCCATCTCACCAGCCCCCAGAACCATTAACTATTGATACTATTTTGGTGATCAAAAGGAAATATATATACAAACTTTATTAATCCTCAATGTTCAATATTTATGAAAACTTTATCCAAACAAAGAAATTCTATTTCATGAGCAGATTTCACTCAGTACTGGAGCACAAGAAGGACACGTGTCACGAGCCTCAGGCAGAAGGAGAGCTGGGTACCGCAGGTGACTGTGTCTCTGCGGTCTCACAGACCGTGCTCAGCCCTGCCCTCTTTACACCGGCCACACACAAACCTGGTGACACCACTGTGTACCTTCACACCTCCATCTGAGGCTTATGAATGTCTAGGTCATGTAGTGTGCCTATCACATACTGTATATGTGAAAAATATTTTATTATAAAAAAACTCTTTTTAGCTCAGAAGCCTTGCAAAGTCAGGTGACAGGCTGAGTTTGCCCTGGTCTAGACCCTAGGACATGGCTATCCTGGAGAAGCTCCGAACCCAGAAGACTTGCTTACTGGGCAGGAGGAGGAGAGACCTGGCAGCTCAGCCTGTGATACCAGAGCAGTAAGGGGCTGCATATTTCTCTTGGGTGCTGCTACACTTTGCCTCACATGCCACAACCTGTTCTAACACTTCTTCAATATGACCTGCCTTAGTTTTGATTTTTATTTAGAAAATGATATTCTTGAGCGCTAATATATCACAAATGGACTTTATTTTAGTGGTACCAATCCAGGAAACTAGAGACTACTTGTTCTACAACATATAAAAACACTTCAAAATCTTCCATTTTTATTGTAGAACAATTTACAGCTGAAAACTCTCCATGACTAGCACTGTGTACTATCTGTTTTGAAGATGATATGGGTTCTCTGGATGCCTTTCATTTTCTCCCTCTTCAGGGTAAATGGATCTATCTTTATCTGCAAAAATAACAGCGTATGAGCCCGGTAACTGCGTGAGCAAAACACCCGCGCACTGCCGCTTAGCTTCCGTCTGGCAAGGCTCAGCGACTGGCGGTTTTTACATTAAGCGCAGAGTGCACCAGTGAAACTTCTGGTAGTGATGAGCCTGCGTCCTTAGAATTAACTGGATTCACGCTTAATCTTTCTTGAATAATGTATTCCATGTAGGAATAAAGAGACCTAGTGACTCAGAACTGTGTAATTATCTACTTATTTCCTGAGAAGTGTTAGGAAGATCTTACTCACGACGCCGTTAACCTTGAAGTAACAGAAAGATCCACTTACATCCGTGGCACTGGGAACAGATTGGTGTCCCCAGCGGGGCCGCTGCCTTCGCTGTCCACACTGTAGCCACTGCCAAAGCTGCTGCCCGAGGAGCCGGTCGATGCTGAGCTGTCTGCAGGCCGTGGGTTGCTGGGCTTTGCTGCATGGTGTGGGAAGAGCCAACACCACAGTCACTCAGAGACTTGCCTGGGCCCCACATGCGTAATTACACACTTTCTTAGTTGATGCATAGACGATCCGCTTTGTTAAGGACTCTGCCTCTCAGCCCCCCTCTCCTCCTCACTTTTTTAACCACTCATGAGCACCGAATGACTTTACTTGTTTATTGGCCATTAAAGCAAGACCCAATTACTACTGGGAAAACCCATTTAATTACTCAGATTGAGGCAAGTAGTACTAAATTATACTATTACCATGATTTTGTGTCTGGTATTGCAATTATGTTATGCAAACAAATGACAATTTGGGCTATTTCACTGAGAAAAGAACTCGAGGATACTTTGGTAGCTAAAACTGGAAGAATAACAGGAGCTGCTTAATTATTGTCCATAGTAATAACCAATCACCTCAGGAGTGAACGTGTCAAATAAAAAGATAATTTCCAGAAATGACAATTCTGTGTTCATTTGTGTGGGGCTCTACCAACATCTCTTGCACTTTTTAAAATTAAAAATATTTTTTTTCCCTTAAGAATTTTATACTTCATGATTCAGACTTACTTCAAAAAATTTGTAAGTTTTCTTTTTGGATCATGAATCCGTATGCCCATATTCCTAATTTGAGAGGCAGCTATGCTCACCATTACGCCACTAATGCCACACCCATATTCCCAATTTGAAACAGAAGGTTTGCTTTAAATTAGGTATCCGAGGTGCAGTACTAGTGTCAGCAGGGTTTTAAATTTGAGAGAAAATTTTCCCACAAAAAGAAGGAAGAGAGACAATGCTGCCTCCTATTCTGTGGAAGAGAACTTTTGCTAGTAGGGTTTTTTTTTTTTTTTTTTGTATTTTTTTAGGGAAGGATCTACAGGGTCTCACTACTAGATCAGACTCGTAGCGATCTGCCTGTTTACAGCCTCCTAAGAGCTGGGATTAAGGCACGCACCACCACGCCCAGTCTCAGTTTCCCTCTCAGTGCGCCCCTGGGGCGGGACTGGCAAGCAGGCCCAGGGATTGAACACTGGCCCCTGTGCCCGCTTGCAGGCACTTTAATCCCCTGAGCTATTTGGCCATGCTAGCAGGTTTTTGAACATGTTGATTTCCATCTTCTGCCAGGGAGAACAAGCTCTGGTCATCTCAATCTAGCTGTGACTCTGCATGCACTCTGGAGTCTTTACCCCCTGCAGGCTTGGCAGTGCCTTCTAAGAGGAGTCTAGGAGCAGCCCTGTGACCTGGCCTTCCCTCGTGTGACATGGGTCATCGGAGCCTCATCTCTTTGGGGCTTCTGCAAAGTAGTGCCTTGGAGCTTACACAGTCCCTGCAAATCAGTTCCTCTCCATTTTATGCTAAATCTAGATGTGCTGCCAACTATAGAACTGCTTAACATCACTCTCCTCCATGCTGCATCCCTGTCTGTTAGAGGTCTCAGACCACGGAGTGGGTGCCCACCACCGAAGGAAGAGGTAATGATCATTTCGCGACCCCAGGATTGCAGCGCCTTTCTTAGGGAAATACGCAAGAACACAATGATTCTTTTTTTGAACCCAGAGATTCTTAATCCGGGGGAATTTTGACCAAGATAAGTGGAAAAATGTAGACAATTTTGGCAAAACACTGAGAACAGTGACATTCACCTATGTGAATGTGGGAGGTAGGATCAAGTCTTGCAAGGGATTAAATTTTCCCTTCTTCCATTTGTTGTCTCCCAGTTGGGAACAGATGTTCAGCAAAGGTTCATGTAGCCTCCAGTGCAGTAGCTACTAGCTACACGTAGAAATAGACCGGCAGAGAAAGAATAGCTATAACATTTGTTCATTATTTTTTTCAGTGTGTGGAGAAAAGCCCCAGATGGCACATTTAGTATTAAAGGAAACATGTATTAAAAGAATAATTTTTAAAATGTAAAGGTAATATAACTCGCATATAAAAGCATGAACTTATATAGAGCATATTAAACTGCATAGGCAGCCATAGAATGGATGAGTCAACTGGCTGTAAGCAAGGAAAGTGGCTGTGCTTCTTGGGAGGCACTGTGTAAGCCAGCCGGAGACACTGTTAGTGTATAGTATTATACTGAATTGGAAACAGTAATTTCATTAACCAAAGAATCTTAATATGTTATTTTCAAAGACAAACCTTAATAAAAATGAATTCACGCACTTTATCGTTACTCAATTAAAGCAACATTATCCATGAACAAACTCATAAATGCATGAGAATAACTGTATTATAGAAATAATCTTATTTACATTTTAAAACTTTTCTAGGATTTTTTTCATCAACTATAGTTCATACCTGATCCAATTTCTAGTTTCACAGACTGTAAAGCAGCATTATTAGATAAAAGAAAGAAGTTTAGAAAATAACATAAGGGAAGATCTCTTGGATCTTCCCGATCTCCTTGAAAGAAATTTCATTCAGAAGTTCTATGTGAATTTTCAATATTTTAGGGGGCTGGGGAGACAGCGCAGTAGAAGAAGTGCTTGCTTGGCAAGTACAAGGTCCTGAGTTCAATCCCCAGTATCACTAAATAAATAAATAAATAAATAAATAAATAAATTTTCAATATTTGAAATGCAACCAAACATTTTAGAATAAATATAAAAAGAAAACCAGATCCCGGGCATGCATAATGGAGAACTCTATGTGTGTCTCATATCTCTGCAAAATAGGATTCCATTTAATGTTGGTAGTATTTAGAATTTAGATGGCTAAATGAATCTAGACGCTTGCCATGATCTTAAGAAAACAACCAGTGCCTGATTGACTCTTTTATTTTTAGCCTAATATGTAAATGTAGTGTAGAAATAGTCCAGCTTTAAGACTTTCTGAAAATGAAGTTGCAATGAGGCGGGACTTTTGCCTTTAACTGCGATACACCAACCTCCAAAAGCAGGAGCTGCAAGGCAACATACAAATGCAGAGGTTTTGATGAGCTGGTGCTGAAAATCCAGGTGTTTTAATGGTTCGTAGAAAAAACCTGAAACAACACATGTGCCGTCTACTTTCGCTTTCCTGCTAGAGCCCAAGTAAGGAATGGTCAGTTGCGTTGCCTTATCTACATTCCCACAATTTTTTTTTTTTTAATCTTTTTATTGGGAGGGGAGAACCGGAGATTGAGCTCAGGCCCTTGTGCTTGCCAAGCAAGCTCTTATTCTACTGAGCCATCTCCCCAGTCCAACTTTCCTACAATTTTTTAATGAACCAAATCCTATTCAGATTTAATATCGAGGCGAGATCTTGCATAATTTGGGGACATGCGCAGGTCTCAGCTCTTTCTTTAGTTTGCTTCTCAAGGTTGATTATTGTTCTGCTTTTCTCTCAAGGCTGCAGTCAAGAAATAGTTCATGACTAAATGAAGAAATAACCATACAGAAATATGCTTTCTCTAAACCAAACACCAAAACATCTGAATGGTTTTGGTGATATTTCATGTTTGAATTCAACTATGAATTTTTTAAAAAAATCTCTAATCAAAAAGCCACTTGAAGGCCAGGGACACAGCTCAGTGGCACAGAGCCTACCTGGCACGTTCAATTCCCCATACCAAAAAAAGAAAAAAGCCACTTGACTTGGCCATGTTTGTTTCTCCTTATGATCTTTGCCAAAGGAACTGCAATGAATCAATTTTTTCATAGATTTCTCTTTCTTTCTTTCCTTTTTTTTCTCCCCCGAAACTGGAGATTGAACTCAGGCCCTTGTGATTGCCAGGGAAGTGCTTATTCTACTGAACCATCTCCCCGGCCCCCTTTTGTAGATTTCAAAATCAGAAATGACCACTCTAATCTGCTCTACCATGTAGAGAAGTGTCACTGGCTAGGGTTTTTTTTTTTTTTTTTTTTAAATGTATTTTAGTACAGGGTCTACAAGGTCTCATTACACAGGTCAGACTTGTAGAGATCCTTCCTGTTTTCAGCCCCCCAAGGGCTGGGATTACAGGCATGCGCCACCACACCCAGTCCCAAATGCTGTCTCTGCACACCCTGGACGTGGGGCTGACAACGCGCGCTGGGGATCGAACCGCGGTCCCTGCACCTGCTTAAGCAGGCCCTTTAATATACTGAGCTGTCTGGCTGGCCCTTAGATGTTTTTATTTATTTATTTGTTTATTTATAATAATCCCAATCTCCTCAAAAAACTTTTGAGCAAAGAAACCATTTAATGATAATGCACTAAACACTGAAAGCATAGATTTTATAAATTACAGAGAAGTTCCTAACAGGCCAAAAATATTAAATATACATGCATACTTAGATTGGAGTAACAAAGAAAAGATTAGGAATGGCAACGCTATATGGGAGAGAAGCTGAGAAATGCTGGAACTTGTGCTCCTCCCTGTCATGGCAGACAAACTTGGGCAGCGTAGGCTTATTTAAGTGGAATATCTCTGTTTTTCTACGTTCCTGAAGGAAATAATATTTTCAAATATTAAAACCACATATGGCACTATGTAACTTCATGATTTCAAAATTAGCAATTTAAACCCGCCCTTCCGCGCCTTCTCCCAGCGCTCCTTCAGTCTGGGAAGCGGACGCTCGCGGAGCAGCAAGCCCTGCGCTGGCGTCTGCTACACGGGAAAGGCGACTACTCCGCAGCCAGGTGGAGGATTTTAAGGACAGTGAGCCACGATCTGGAGCCAAGTTGTGGGACGTGCACGACTTGTTTTGAGGTGCTCGCTGGACTCTCAAGCAGGGGCGGGTGGGAGGGACGTGGGGGCACACCGGCCCGCAGGCTGACCTCGGGTGCGCTCGGCTGCCGTCCCAAGCCACGCTCAGCTCGGACGTCCTGGTCCGCTGGCCCCGGGTGAGCCTGCGCGAGGAGGCGGCCCGCGTGACAGCGGGGGCTTCTGCTGCCCGTCTGCCTCCAAGCAGGTGGCCTTTTGGGCGCAGTTCTCGCCCACTGTACTCAGAATCTGTCTCGGTGCCCAGCCGGGAGGCAGCACCGCGCTCGGGGCCCGGGACCCGGCCGCAGGGACGGAAGG